AAAAAAGTAGATGGGCTAGGGGCCGGGGATTTAGCTCAGTGGTTTTGCCACCTGCTGCGCAAGTGCAAGCGCAAGGACCCGAGTTCGCTCTCGGGTACCAAAAAAAAAAAAAAAAGTAGATGGGCTTCCGCACCTGCCTTGTAATCTCAAGGTCATGAGTTCGATCCCTGGTACCAAGAAAAAGTAGATGCGCTTTATACAACTCTAGGTTGTTTATTAATAATTATTTCTGAACATATTTTATTCAATTTTATTTCAGGAAATACAAATTAAAATATTTATGTACTATAATTAGATGTAACACACTATGTAACTTTACTGAGAATACTAGGGATTCAGTTTCCTTAAATCCGTTTTGGAATAAGGCAAGAGAATAATTAAATCAAATAAAAATTCTACACAAGTTACTTTCTAAAGCCTCTGAAGGTATTACCTCCGCCATCTTTATTATTTAACTCATGTTCTGTGCTTCTCCCTGTACTATGCGCTTAGCATCCCAAATGAGTAAGAAGAGAACCCTACCCTCAGGGAGCCTTCAATCTAGTAGGGGATTCTGACAAACATTGACACTGTATTTATCATGTTGTGTACAATGTAGTTATACATGTGCTACAGGGAACATCTAGCATGTCTGAAGAAAAGTATAAGGCATTTCTGCTATAAGTTTACCTCGTGTTGGAGTAAGAAATATATCCACTCTCTTACTCACTTCTTAGATATATCTCAGGACTTGTGGGAAGGCAGTTCCTATATATTTTTTTTCCATGTTAGTGTGGCAGTAACATTCTTTTATAAGTTAGTGGTAAGATATTGAACAAATATAAAGTACCATTTTTTAAAAAATGAAAAATCCCTTTTCATTCTTAAGGCAAAGTGCTACCTCAGACATTTTATTTATGATGGAATCTTGGTCATGTGGATCCATGACCTTTGTGAAGTTCACTAATAAATTCAAGTGTAACAGAGTGTAATGGCATCCCGTGGCCATTGTGTGATCAGTTCACCTGCATACTTTTTTCTTTTCTTTCTTTCTTTTTTTTTTTTGGTACCAGGGATCAAACTCAGGACCTTGCACTTTTGAGGCAGGTGACAGAACCACTGAGCTAAATCCCCGGCCCTCCTGCATACTTTTTGGTTCAGCCGGTTGGCAGTAGTGGCTTGGAACAACTTAGGACCTATGCCTGCTTGTGCTTAGTGCAGCCAAGTACCCTGGAAAAGTCTTAATTATATTGGATCTTTAGAATTACCATCACTTTCTCTCTTTTCTACTTAGTAATCTATAGGGAAATATGCTGTTGTCTGTCCTTCCCAAAAGACTTTTAAAAGTGCTAATTTTTAAAAAAAAAAACTAAAAAGAATGACATGAAAGTAAAGGAGGCTGTTAAAGAAGGGAAAGGGGACCAGCGGGATGAGGGGAGTGTAAGAGAAGGCAGGGAAAGGTGGATACGATCAAAGTATTTATTATTTTCATGAGAAAGTATCACAAAGAAATCCATTATATTGTTCAATTAGTATGTGCTAATAATGATAGTAAAGAAAAATAATATTCTCACTTATTTTTTTAAAATGAATTTTTGGAGACCTAGTAAAATACCGGATGCAAGTCTCTGGATTCTACCAGGTGCTTTTCAGAGATTCCAGAGTTCCTAAAAACCAGTCCTTATAGCTTTTAGTCAGTTTACTGAGGAAATTTTAAAGTGACATCAGTGTAAAATTTATATTGCAATTTTTTCTAAGGGTTACTAAACAGTAGATGGAATGGTTTTCAGAGGTGTTCTGTGGTGGTGGTGGTGGGGAATGTGCTAGTTATTTTCCTTTTCATGCTGATCTTTAAAATAATCTCTAGATACGAATGCAAGCACAAAATAGCACCATTCAAGGAGGAATGATAGGCAACTTCATTAACATTTACCAGCAGGAAGGGACAAGAGGACTCTGGAAGGTAAGATTGAAGAATAGGTCCCACTGACTGACTTCTTGCCTTTTTTCTTTTAAAATGCATTTGTCATATTTTCATCACTTTATTTTAAGCCAAGTGGCATAATTGAGTGAAAGAGTGAGATGATTTCTTTCTCCCTTTCCCTATCTGTAAAATGAGAATATAAGGAATAATCATGATCCCCCCCCCGGTACTGGGGATTTAACTCAGGACCTTTGCGCTTGTCAGGCTGGCACAGTGCTGCTGAGCTATATCCCTGGTCCATAAAGTATCTTTTGAATAATTCACGTATGAGAAGTTTTGAGGAAGTTGAACACTTTTTTTTATTGGTTTGATTTTTTGTTGTTGTTGTTTTTGTTGTTTAAATCCTCATGGAGGTTTCCAGATTTTACTTCCACTGGATGATTGATCAATATGGTTTCAGGGCTGTTCAGTGAAGTTTGTGTTATTAGGAAAGCGCTGGTGTAGAGCACTCTTTCCTAGAATTCCAGTGACTTGTCAGTTCATAGAATAGACCCTGAATATCACCCCGTATGAACCCTCAGCATGACACAGAAACCAGAGGCTCTAAGAGGCAACTTGTCCCGGCCAGGGTCTGGCCCCAGATCCACAGTTAGTGCCAGAGTAAGAATTAGATTTCAGAGCTTTTGCGTTCTTGCCCTCCACATTTTTACCTACAGAGAAAACATAGAAAATTTGGTTGTAGTTTGTGGAGAATCTGCATTCTACAGAAGATTTATCTGAATCATTTTATTGTTTATATTTTTATGCAGGGAGTGTCCCTTACAGCTCAAAGAGCTGCTATTGTTGTTGGTGTGGAACTGCCGGTCTATGACATCACCAAAAAGCATCTGATTCTCTCAGGCCTGATGGGAGACACTGTATATACCCACTTCCTGTATGTTTATGGATTTAAAAAAAAATTACTACTTTATGTATGTATGAGTTTAGGATGGAAATTTGGTATAAAATTATAGAAATTTTAGATAGATTTTATTATAAAGTATTATATTCTAATACTTGAAAAATTGTAACACAGAAGTGAAGCAGGACAAAGCTCTTACCCCTTCACATGGGTTGCTGTTAGTAAGAGTTTGGTATGCACCTGTGTACACACATGTCTACAAAAGTATACCACATGTACTTTATTACAAAAGTAAGATTATCCTTTATACTTACTTATTTGCTTTTTGTTTATTTTTGTTTTTTCAGTGCTAAGGATTGAGCCTAGGGCTTCGAGCATGCAAGGCAAGCACTACAACTCAGCCATGCTTCCAGACCCTCTTATTTGCTCTTTAAAATTTAACAGTATATTCTAAATGTCTCTCCATGTCAGTACTTAACAGACTTACTTTATTTTAGTGGTTTCAGATTATCACATTGTCTGAATATATCATAGATTATTTAATCCATTGGAACTGACTTTGCCCTGACTGGGGCACTTGGCAAAGTATGTAGACTGTTTTGATTGTCACCACAAGAGGGGAACTGAGACATCTAGTGGGCAGAGGCTCCAGCTGCAGCTAACCCTTTTAGGGTATATAGGAGAGTCTCCACAAAAAAGAACAATCTATCTGGTCCAAAATGTGCATAATACTGAGGCTGAGAAATCTCTGAGTTAATTGATACTGTTAAAAGAAAAACCTTGGGTCAGTTAAATTGAACAGTTATTTAAGCAGAAAAAGTCAGTGAACAGGGTAGCACTTGTGACTGGAAGTCATGAGCACTCTGTCCCACAATATGTGTAGGCAATATTTATAGCCAGATACATGGAAGTGACATATAAATGGTCTATGATGGTTCAGCTTAGGATTTTTCAACTTTACAATGGTGTGAAAGTATGCCCACACAACCATTCTGTTTTTCACTTTCAGTATAGGGTTCAGTACTTTATGTGACGTATTCAATCTTTTATTATAAAATAGGCTTTATATTAGATTATTTTGCCCAACTATAATTAATTTAAGTGATCTGAGCATGTGTAATGTAGGCTAGACTAAGCTTTGATATTATGAAGATTAAGTATATTAAGTACATTTTCAATTTATGATGTTTTCAAGTTTGGCTGGGTTTACTGGGACACAAGCCTATCATAAACTTAGCATCTATATAGAAATAGCCTGATAGATGCATTTCTGCATTTGCCTCATTTGGACATGTTTTGACAGCTTTCAGCCTCTGATCAGCTGAATGTTTGGCTGACACTTGGCTACTTTTTGCAGAAGTATACTCTCACAGTAGATTGTTCATACATTGAGTCAGATTACAGTTAGTTATATATGGAGACAGTTTTAGGCTAAACATAATTCAATTTAACAATACCTAATGTAGTCTATGATAGTCTTGTAAGATTGAAAATTTAGTAGAACCTAAGACCCCTAGTGGGCAGTCACAGTGAGGACATCTTTTTCTTTGACCTGTAGGAATAATATGAATTACTGTGATACTTACTTATACATAAATAGATGGGCTAGATTATCCTTGTTGGATGTTCCTTCCTTTGACTGTCTAGAACCTCAAAAGTATTCTTAGCTGAGGCTGGAATTTATAAGCCAGTATAAATCAGTGCTGATGTTTAAGCTTGGCTAGCTCTCTAGATATGGACCTTAATCTTGATATTTTTATGTTGTTCCATCTTACTTGAATATAGTTTTAGGAGGAGGTTGTTTCCTGCCTTGATAGTAGTAGCTGTGGCTGAGTGGTTGGGTTTTTTTAATTCTATCTTACACAGCTCAAGCTTCACCTGTGGTCTAGTGGGGGCACTGGCCTCAAATCCTGTTGATGTTGTGAGAACCCGTATGATGAATCAAAGAGTCCTTCGAGATGGCAGATGCTCTGGCTACACAGGTACCCTGGATTGCTTGTTACAGGTAAGAATGAATGTCTGTGCAGTGTTGTGAAATAAATAAATTTTAAAAAATACATACACATAGACACAATATATACGTACACACATATACACACATACATATACGTATATACACACATGTATGTATATATACATACATATACATATATGTATATATATGACTTAAATAACTAAATTATTGCAGCTATTAAAACTAGGATGACTCAAGAAGATGAGCCAGGAGGAATGTGAGTGTGAGGCTAGTCTGTGCTACATAGTGAGGCCCTGACTCAAAAAAACAAAACAAAAATAACCCCCAAAACTGAGATGCATGATGGTTTATATGTCACACCATTTTTGCCACAATGGGGTTAACTTTTTTTTAAGTTATTTTTTTCTACTCATTTCTTTTTTCTTATAATTAGTACATACGAATTGCACAGATTGGGGTTAACTTTATTTTATTTTATCTTATCTTATTTTATATTTTTTGAGATAGGGTTTTGCTATGTATTCCAGGCTGGCTTTGAACTCACTATGTAGCCCCAGCTGGCTTTGAACTCAGAGCAGTCTTCCTGCCTCAGCCTCCCATGTACTGGGATTACACGTGTGCACAAACATGCCTGGCAAGTGTTAACTTTTATGTATTTAATATCTAGGTGGATATTTAGAAATGAAAGTTCATTTTCTGTATACCTGCACTCTACTGTGAAGGGTAATAAAATAGTAATGTTTTCTGTGATCATAGAACTGTCTCCTTCCAAAATACACCTTTTTCCTATTGAGTCAAACTGGAGTAAATAGCCTCATTCAGACATCCCTCTAAAAGGTATTCATCAATCTTACTGTAATTCTCAGCATTTAAATAACTGGGCCTACTATTCATGAGTACATGAAAGTTTTCAACCATCTCCCCCATTAGATTTTGAGCAGTCAAAGACTAAGGACCATTTTCATGGTTCCCATTCTGCAGTAGGAGGCCAGCTCATTATACTGCAAGTATTAATGTAATGAAGTGAAGATATTGTCATTTTTATTCACCCAACAACCTAGGAAATAAAAGCTCTCTAAATATCATTACCACTCTTGCCTCTCTCTCTCTCGGTTTTTTGAGACAAGGTCTCACTGTAGTTCAGGCTGGCCTTGAACTCATTATGTAGTCCAGGCAACACTCCCAGCCCCAAGATTTTTGTTGTTGTTTCTTTTTTTTGATACCAGGGATCGAACTCAGGACCTTGCGCTTGTGAAGCAGGTGCTGGAACCACTGAGCTAAATCCCTGGCCCCCAAGATTTATTTTTTAAGAAAAATAGATCAGTCTGACAAATATTTTTTGTTTTTGTTTTTGGTAGGAGGGATCAAACTCAGGACCTCGCGCTCATGAGGCAGATGGCGGCACCACTGAGCTAAATCCCTGGCCCTCAGTCTGACATATTATTAATGCATTTGACATATTAGAAAGTTGGAATTTAACTCTCTTTTTTTCTTCTTAATAGACGTGGAAGAACGAAGGTTTTTTTGCTCTCTATAAAGGATTTTGGCCAAATTGGTTGAGGCTTGGTCCTTGGAATATCATTGTATCCTTTCCTGTTGCAGTAGATCTAAAAAGAGATGTAGCTAAAGAATATTGTTTGTATAAGCTATCAGAATATTCATTTCTATCTTACATTCTTATCCTTTTGAGTTGCTCTGATTCTAGGAAATAACTTCAGTTTCTGATTTAGGAAATATAAAGTCTGTTTAGACACTGTGGATCTTAGTTTAATGATAATGTATTAAAAGGTGATATATGAATAAAAATTTTTTATTAGATTCAACTCTGGAAGAGGAGGGTATTTGTGGTTTCAGAGAGAGAGAGACAGACAGACAGACAAGGATTGATTTTACATCCCTTGCTGTCTTGCAGAAGACTGGTTAGCAACAATGTCCAAGAATGCTTATTGCAGAGACTGCCTGATGCTAAATGGGAATTAGCTCTGGGATTGTTTGGCTTATCTGCATTTTTTCATTTATGCCAAAGTAGGAAACAGGAACAGTTCGATAGACATGAAAAGGCAGAATTAAGAAGTAGTAATATTGATTTTTCCATCCTCTTATTTCTCTTTATCTGCTCCTCCTCCCAAGGAAGGCAGCATGATGGAAAGCTTGGAGGAGTTTCCCAGGGTTTACTGACTCCTTCTCACACAGAAGTTTATTGTTCTAGAGTCTTTGCAGCACAACGAAAGTCAACAAAAGCTAATGAGTATAAGGCTGAGGTTAGGGGATGTGCAGACTGTGCTGTGATCTTTCTGCTCTGGCTGACCTTGAGCAGGCTTCTGGGGAGAGCCTGAGGAAGTTAAGAATGGCATGCTTAATACTTAATCACGTCCATGGCATGGGTTTGTCTGTACACATTTGTTAGTAGGTGTGCTAATTTTTGGTCTTTTTTTTTTGTACTGGGGATTGAACTCAGGACCTTGTGCTTGCGAGGCAGGTGCAGTGCCACTGAGCTAAATCCCCGGACCATTTTAGGTCTGTTTTTATGTGTTGGAGTTGGGAAGACAGCATTTTCATTGGCCACCTTAACCTGTAATTACAGTTTTTTGTGACGTATGAACAGCTGAAGAAATTGGACTTGTGACAAGTCAAGGCTGCATGAGACGCCCCTCTGAAAATGCTGACTTCTACAACAGTAGAGCTTTGGCATTTCTCTGTGCTTCTCACTACTTGGCTCATCACAGATTCTGGGATGGGAGCAACAGATGAAGATTGGGATTAGTTCAGATTGCTGTGTGTTGCCATCAGACACCTTTCATCCACGTTTAATGGCCAAAACTTGAACATCCCAACACGAGTCCTTACCATTGAAGTGCCCTTTGACATCCAACATAATATATGAAATGCATGTTTCTTACTAAAGAAAACCAGGAGTGGATACTGTTTCTTTCAGGGAGAATAGCTCCTGATGTCTCCCAGCTGACAGCTGCAAATAATCAGACTGCTCTAACAAGTTCATAGAAACCATGTAATGGAACGTCCAAGAGGGTGTTACTGTTCCTGAACAGCTGGGAGCTTTTGCTTCTTGTCAGCTGAAGACATTTTGTTCATGGAAACTTGGACTTTTTAAGCCCAGGTATAGACAGTGCAGGGAGTAGATCCTTTCACTGCTGTATAATTTCCCTTGTCAGGATCTCTCACTTATAATAAGTGATTTTAAGCCTCTGAAGATTTGACCTTTGTGAGGAATTATTAGTGTATTAATACCTAAGTTGATGGTGGTGTGAGGTATTGACTTCGAAGGTTACAGTATGTTGGTGGGAGATGTTTTCAAGCAGCTTGGCTTCTGTTTTAGGCAATGTTAATGCTCTATGAGTTTTAGCAAAGCTTGTCATTTTCCAGTCTGTAAAATGGGGATAGTAACATCTATTAATGTAGGGATCAAATAAAAAAATAGAAGGCAGAGCTTGGCATGGTGTCCACGCTTATAATTTTAATACTGAAAGGCTGAGGCAGGAGGACTGCAAGTTCAAGCCCAACCTGGGCACCCTCCCCCACAAAAAAAAAAACAAGGGGTGCTCTGTGACTTGAAGAGTGTGTTTCTATCATTTTTACAGTTGTAATCCCTAAATAGTCTGCATAGATAGGAGCAAGTTGTATTATCATGGTCTTCTTACAGAAATTGTGAGTGAAGCCCTTTCTTAAAGGCCTTGTTAAAGAAAAAACGCTCTGTAAGTGAAGGTTTTAATAACATTGTGAAAGTTTTAATAACATTTTCCTTCACAAACTGTTGCTAATGAAGAGTTGTTTCCCAGATTTCTAGCTTTTACTTTAGTTTATGTTTTGTCTGTTAATGTTTCCTGTCTTGGATACCCTAGTTGGTTTGGTATAAAATACTTGCTTGAAATTATTATTATTTGGCTTTTTGAGCCAAGGTCTCATTATGTAGTTCAGGCTGGGCTTGAACTTGGGCCAATCCTCCTGCCTCAATCTTCCAAGTGGTGGAATTACAGGAATGTGCCACTGTGCTTAGCTTTGCTTGAAATTTTAAAAGTTTTTTTTTTTTTCAGTGGTAGGAATGGAACCCAGGGCCTTATGCATGCTAGGTAAGCACCCTACCAACTGAGCTATACTCCCAGCCCATTTCTTTAGTGCATCTGTTTATCTAATTTCTGATAAAAGGTATATGTTTTTCTTGTTTATTGTCTTCTAATGATGTGGCAAATCATTTTCCTTCCTTCTTGTCTTCATCTTATTCTTTTCAAAGCAAAGGTTGTCTCCAAGAGCCCCAAGAACTTTCTATTTCTAGATGTCATCCCAGGAAAGTGAATATATTTACTTGGGTCCCTTCAAGGATAATCTTTGAGAACCTGCTTCCAGGCAGGCCACTTACATATAATATGTGTCAGCCAGATCAATTCCTAGTTTGTGTAGGCCCTGGGACTTCCTCCTCCTTGAGAGTCTTTGTGCATCAGGCAATTTTCTTCACAGCCATTTTCACTTTGTCTTCTTTATTAATATTTCCTTTGAAAAAAGATCCTGTAAAGCAGAATTTTATTTCCAAAAATAAGCTAAGATATCACAAAGAAGAAAGGTCATTGGTGGTATTAATCACCTAAGGAGTAAAAAGTTTCCATCTCCCTGGCTGGCACTAGATGGCAGTAGATGACCTCTGAGGTCCTGCAGGGCTCCCTCCTGGTACTGAACCTTATGTGAAGAGATGTTTTTCTTCTTATCAGAACATTCCATGGATGTGATAACTTTCTGTAGAGAGGCTTCCACTGAGTTGAAAGAATTGCTTTTTTTGAACCACTCTTTTTATTGTAGAAAACATTTAAAAAAGTACACACTTGATTTCTAACATAGAAGCAAGTTCATTTTGAAGTCCATATGAAGAGAGAATATCAGACAATCTTTATTATTTTTAGTTTTAGAGTACATACAGGTCCATATCAGAAGACAAGATATTCAAACTTCACTGTAAAACTTCTGTTTTAAGACAAAGATATAATGTTTTAAGACAAAATATGTTGTAGATTTATTGTAAGTGCCTTATAGAACAGGATCTTAACCTGCTTTTACTGTCTCCTGAAGGAGTTAGTGCAATTGTTGATGCTTCTAACCAAGAAACAACTTGAGGAATTGCGAGACTTGTTCCTCTTGTTTTCAGAGGAAAACTTCAGGAACTGGGAGGCTTGCTCCTGTTATTTTAGGGGCATGGCTACCAGCCCCTCACCTCGAAATATTGCTGAAATATGAAAAAGGTTTTCTAGTGTTTATAACTAATTTGAAGAAATTAGTTTGCTTTTGTTTGCTTGTGGATTTGTGTGATCATTGATGCTAAATGTTGCTGATCCATAATATAAAATATGGCTCCTGTTCACCATATTTATTCATGTGTTAGAAATAGTATACATTATATAAAGAGAATACATTTTTCTTAAGTCTCCATATTTTGGGCTGTTTATTTAAACATTAGTGGAATATGTGATGTAAACCTTGTTTCACTTACTTAATAAACTATAATATATAATATATAAATATAATAATAATATGATTTGTGGTTATTTCAGATAAATGGAAACATTTTAACAAAGCCAAACCACAGAGAATTGAGAAAGCTGGGATAGAAGCAGTGTTTGTGACAGTAGCAAGAGCTATTTTTCTGTGGGTGGAGTATTTGGGATCACTTTATTCATTGCCTGGTACCTGTGTGACTCCTCCAAACCCCATTACCTGAAATGCCCTGTAGCTCAGTAGAGACCAGTGAACTTGGTTTGAGGCTGGCTTGGCAGGCAGCCTGGACTTTCTTTTTCTCCGGTGTGATGGCATCAGCATTGTGAGCTGTCCAGTTCTCTTAAGTCCTTCCAGCCTTGGGTGTTGCTAGAGGCAGGGTTTGGGGTCCTTAGTCATATATGGACAAGGCAGGGGTACCGGTTTATAGAAAACAGCCAGTAAACTAAATGTGAACTAAGTGTGCCTGTCTTAACATTTGAATTAAGTGTGGTGGTTTACTAAGAAAACCTAGGATTGGGAAAACTTTTTTTTTGGTATCGGGGATCAAACTCGGGACCTTGCGCTTGCAAGGCAGGCAGTGGAACCACTGAGCTAAATCCCTGGTCCTCTTTTTGTTTCTTAATAGACTTTTTTTTAGGTCAGTTTTAGATTCACAGCAAAATTGGCAGGTGCAGAAATTCCTATATACTCCTTCCCTCCTCCTCTCTCAATACTCCACACCAGAGTGGTATCATTGTTAGAATTTATGCACCTACATCGACACATTATTATCCAACACCCATAGTTTATATTGAGGTTCACTCTGTACATTCTGTGGGTTCAGACATATATATATATAATAGCATGTATCCACCAATGTATCATACAGAATAGTTTTGCTGCCCTGAAAGGGATGAGACTTTGTCTTTATTCTCCTAAGAGTGTAGATGACATGCCCTTATGTGGTTGACCATGTACAAAGGTCAGTGAGAACAGCTGATGGTGGTGTGGCTCACATGCCTGTGAGCAGTGATTCAGTTGGATGATGACACCTGCTGGGTGCATTTGGCTTTAAGATACTTATTTTTAAACTGGCAACTGGGAAGAAGTGATGGTAAATTTTCAGTAGATTATAAGTTGATTCATTCTGTAGCAAGTGGGAATACAAGACACAAGTGGTGTCTTAATGTTTTGAAAAAGCTCAATGCAAGTAATAAAACCAAGAGTACAAGAGCAAAAAGCTGGAAACCACTGATATGCCTGTAAGTATCCCTGTTTATCTAAAAACTAGTCCATGAGAAATGCTGCCGTTTAAGTGAGTGTCCTGATTTCAGAAACCAAGTAACAGCGTCTAATAGAGGGATCCTGGGCACAGTTACGGTATGTTTGTTTGTTTTTTGGTACTGCGGATCGAACTCAGGTCTTCGAGCTTGCGAGGCGGGCGGCAGAACCACTGAGCTGAATCCCCAGCCCCACAGTTACTGTAGTAGACAACAGGGCCACATTAGCAAACAGAATGCTTTGACTTGTGAGGGTCTTTGATGGTGTCCCTAGGAATGACATAGATGGTCAGCCTACTAAGCTATAAGCTGATTTACATAACTGGAAGTTATCAGGTAAGCAGAGGTCTAGTTTGGGTCACTGTTAAGACTTCTGGCCATTCACCCAGTTCTGACACCTGAGCAAGTTCACAGACTTGGAGCTTCTGACACCGCAGCAATACATACAAAAATCTTTCCTCAAGCTCTGGGAGATTCATGCCATGGGGAAGGAAAATACTTGGGACCATTTGGGGATTACTAAACACTAACTGAATTGATGAGGAAAGTATGTAATTGTTAAGCCAGATTACTTTGGTAACAATGTCAAAAATCTCAGTGGTGTACAATAGCCGAACCAAAGCTGGGACTGGTGGTGCACATCTGTAATCCCAGCACTTAGGAGGCTGAGGCAGGAGGATTGCTGTGAATTTGAGACCAGCCTGAGCTACATAGCGAGTTCAAGCCAGCCTGAACTACATAGTGAGACTTTGTCTCACTCATGCCCCCCCAATAGCAAAACCAATCTCTTGCTTATGCTACATGTCCACCCCAGTTTGCCTGAAGTAGTTTTCCATTTTATTTTCACTTGGAATCCTGGCTGCAACCTCTATCTGGAACATTGGCAGTCTAATGATACAGGGAAAACAGATCGTAGTGAAGCACAAACCAGCAGTCAAAGCTGTCCAGAAGTAATCCATGTCACTTCCATTTCATTTGCTGAGTCACATGGACAAGACAACGGGGTTTGGGATGTACAGTATGCGATTCTTCCTCAAGGAGGGAACCTGAATATTTGGCAAATAGCTGCTCATTCTATCACACACGAGGTAGGTGTTAGGTGATTTTCTATTATCTCTCCATTTATTTTACTATTATTTTTTTATTATCTCTCCATTTAACTTGTGCATTTGGCCTGTGCAAAAAGCAGATAGGTCTTAGAGAATGAGGCCTATTTAAAGAGTATAGTAAATTTAATCAATTGCTACTGTTGCTGCTGTTGTTGCTATTCTAGCCTGCACACACGTTTTCAAGACAACCACTATCACTGACAAATTAGGAAAACAGTACCATTCACAAAAGCATCAAAAATTAAATACTTAGGGATCAACTTAACCAAGGAAGTGAAAGACCTACAATTAAAACTACGGTATTCTGAAAAAGACATCAGAAAATAGATATCCCCTTTTCTTGTATAAATAGAACCAATATTGTTAAATGACCGTACTTTCAAAACTGATATACAGAATTAATGCAATCCCAATCAAAATACCAACAGCATTCCCCACAGACCTGGAGAAAACAATCCTAAAATTCATATGGAACCAGAAGAGACTCAGAATGGCAAAAGCAATCCTGGCAAGATGAGCAAAATAGGAAACATCACAATCAAGTTCTGGTAAAAAGCTTGATTCAAAAGCAGAATGATACTGGCATAAAAACGTGAATCAGTGGAACAGAATAGAGGATGTAGAAACGTCCCCAGGCACGTAAGCTATCTGATCTGTTTTTTTTTTTTTTTTTTGGTGCCTGGGATCGAACTCCGGACCTTGCACTTGTGAGGCAGGCGCCGGAACCACTGAGCTAAATCCCTGGCCCAAGCTAGCTGATCTTTGACAAAGGGGCCAAAAACATATACTTGATCCAGTTCAGTATCTCAAAATGCACTGGGACGTCATGTCTCTAGTCTCCAATGCGTAAGTTTCTCAGTCTTTAAGTTGTTTCTAGTTATTTGATACTATTAATGATGTTTGATATATATGCTCTGAATTTTTTGTTTCCATAAATTAGGTTGTGCGTGTGTTTTTTTTGAGACAGTCTAGCTATGTAGTTCAGTAGTTCAGACTGGCCTTGAACTCGCGCCAATTCTCTTGCCTCAGCCTCCCAAGTGCCGGGATTACAGGCGCGTGCCACCACGGCCGGCTTCCTCCATAAATTAGTTTTCTAACAGGGAAATTACTGGATGTTGGAAAACTTTGTGCTCATAGTTTTTTGGTTTTTTTTGTTTTGGGACCGGGGATCGAACTTGGGTCCTTAGCTCGTGAGGCAGGCGGTGGAACCACTGAGCTAAATCCCCAGCCCTGTGCTCATAGTTTTGATTTAAGCGGCAATCATACCTTTCACCCAGACTACCCAGCAGTGAACAGAGACTGGATCAGGGAGTTCCTCAGGAAGGCCCGGTCAGCAGGGTGACTAGATGCAGTCGCCAATAACGTGAACCACACATAATAATAAAGTTATTGATGTTGAGGAAGAGACTTCCGGTAGGGGCATTACCATTTCCGTTAGAGAGCGTCTCCGTCACCCTCTTCTTTTACACCCAACAGTACACTTTAGTAACCCGCTTAAAGCCACGTCTGCCCTGGCTCGGTCCCGCCCACACGCGGTGTAAGTGCTTCCGGGGTCAGGGCATTCTGGCCTGTCCCGCCCCTTCGCCACCGCGGTGCGAAAGTCCCGTGCTCCCGGAAGTCGTCCGGGCTTCTCAGTCGGGGTCCCCTGCAACTCGTTGCTACTGAGGGTCCCAGGGGCGGCGGCGATGGCGGAGGCGGCGCTGCTGCTGCTGCCCCAGGCGGCGGCCGAGCGGGATGCTCGGGAGAAGCTGGCTCTCTGGGATCGGAGGCCTGACACGACGGCGCCGCTGACCGACAGGCAGACCGACTCGGTGCTGGAGCTGAAGGCGGCGGCCGAGAACCTGCCGGTGCCGGCCGAGGTGAAGTGACGGGCGCGAACTGTGTTGGGCAGAGGGCTGGGTGTTCCTGGGCGTCCCGGGGAGGCCTGGCCTCATCACTCTCGGTCCGCTCCTCCCGGGCCAACGCGGAGGATCCAGTGGGAGGGGCCCAGACGGAGCCTGATCGGGGAGTTGTGGGGCGTCTGGGGCCTGGTGCCCGCCTGCACCCAGCCCCCCCCCCCCCCCCGCCTCTCTCCGGGCGTCTTGCTCCAGGTGTCCCGCTCCTGGTGTCCCTCGTGTCCACCGAGGCGCATCCTGCTGCCCACCCTCGCGGAGGAGGGCACGGAACTCGAGCAGGTTTGCTGCAGTCAGTCTCCAAATTGATGCTTGTTCGTCACTCTAATGAATAGTCTACCTTCCTTTCTGTGAGGGCCTCGGGAGACCAAGCTTGAGCAGAGTGACAGCTTCGCTTGTCACACATTATTAAATAATGCTAGCTTTTGGTCTCAGTATCACAGTTTTTAATTCCATTACCATTCAGATATTCTGCTTATTACTGCTTGTGTGATTTACTTCATTTAGCTTAAATGGCTAGAACTTCGTTTTATGAATTGTCAAATTTGACAGACTTTCTAGTTTTGAGGGCCAGTGTTTTGGGGGATGGTTACTTCTCATGTTGGAAGCATTCTTTTTAGTTTTTATTTTATTTTATTTTTGGTACCGGGGATCGAACTTGGGTCCTTGCGCTTGCGAGGCAGGCGGCGGAACCACTGAGCTAAATCCTCCGCTCAGAAGCATTCTTTTTATACCATTAGGAACTGGTATAACAACTGCAGATTGAGTTTAGAGTCTTCAGCTTTTTCTGCCCTTAAACTTGAAAGGTTTGATTTGAAAGTTCTCTTCACATTTACTGTTACATGCTCTCCATAAAGGAGTTCTCTTTTGGGTTTGGTTCTCCCTCCACCTCCAGGATGCTTTGCAGGAAGTGGGTCTGAAATAAGCAGTTGGAAAGTTCTTTGACTTGGCTGTGAGTCTTTTATGGTCTAGATAATAGCTGTTGTTTGCTCTATAAATGTTCCAATCTCTATAGTGGATTTGGTCTGCTGTTGAAGCAGGATCCCTGAGCCTCATGGCACCAGAGAAAAGAGGAGGGCATTTTCTACAAGGAAGAAAAAATCACTATCACGTGTTACAAGCTGTTTAACTTCTCATTGAGCATGGGGAGGGTTTGGAATTTTGTCAGTTTCACTCCATTCTTCCATATTTATGCAATGATACTTATCATTTGCATTTAATCATTTGACATTTCATTTCTACCCTGAGCTAGGAATTTGGGATAGAAAGAAAAATAGGAAGGACAAGCTCTCTAGCCTCACAAAGCTGATTACGGAGATTGTGACCATGTAATAAAAAGATCAAGAAGAGGGGCCGGGGATTTGGGTCAGTGGTTTCGTCGCCTGCTGCACAAGTGCAAGGACCCAAGTTCGATCCCCGGTACCAAAACAAAACAAAACAAAACAAAAAAGATCAAGAAGATACGTTTGGACAGTGACCCATGGAGTATGAAAAATAAAATAGGATGGTGTGACTGAAAGGGAGGAGGTTTGCATTATTAAACGGTGAAAGTGACAGTCTGTGGTGAGAACTGTTGATAGAAAACAAGAAACTAGCCTTAGAAAGACTAAAGAAATTACATTGTAGCTGGAGGAAAAAGCAGTGCAAGGTTATGGGTAGGGGACATTCTTCAGTTTAAGAATTCAGTGAGGGTCTTCTGCTACATGTGGCCTTGGTGTTGGATTCATATGGGAAGGAAACAGCTTGTTGTTTACTCATCCTGGAATCTTTGAGGGGAACATTTTCATTGCTCTTCAGCTTCCTGTAGCCCTTGTTTCCCTTTTTTATTTTTATTTGCATTACCACTCTTTTAATACTGGTGTTGGAAAAAAAAGTGCCTCCATTTTCATTGTCTGAGCACTATATCTTTAAAGGATTTATTGTGTTTTCCTGAACAGTTGAAACATGGCAGGTTAGTAGAATAGCAAGAGGCCAGCTAATTCTCAGTAAATAAATATCATAATGCTGTTAACTTTAGAAGATAGCTTTCACTTTTGGTTTATGGAAAATCCTTTCGTTTCTTTTGGAAAGGAGTTATGCTTTTTATTATTTTTTGCATTAGATAAAAGAATTTGTACTAGTTTGGTTTCTTGTCAGGATAAATTTTAGTAGCTAGGGAAAATTTTTCTTTCTGCTCAACTTAGTAATTCTTGATAAAGAAATAATTTACCCTGTCATTTATATGTGATTTATTATCATAGCTCTTGTTTTGTTGTAGGCTGCAGTGATTAGACATGATATTTAACTCTGCTAAGCCTTTGTTTTCTTCCTTATAAAAAATGGGACTTATGAGGAGTTGTGAGAATTTGATGCAGTCATGTATGTAAAGTACACATGACAAGCTACTTGCTAGTATGACATTATTAATATAATTTCTTTCAAATGATTGACTTAAAAGAATAGAGTAGAATCCTGTGATCCAGAGGGGTTTAGATGTCACTCAGATCAAAGAAAGAAGAGACTAGATTCCTTGAGGAAGGTTCTGCAATTCCATGATTTGCTCCAAACAGAGAAAGTAATACTAGTTTTCATTTAGGGATTGAATTGGTCAGATCGTTTCTAAAAATGATTTTTTCTAACTCAGAATTCTTCAAGAAGTAAAGTTGGGAGAGGAAGGTGTATGCTCGTTTTTCCCTGGCCCTGTCAAGCTGGTCAGGGAAAGCTTGGTAGTCTGTTGTAGTTATTATTTAATATAATGTCTCCCATTTGTATAGGCTATCCAGGAGCTCTTTATCATTGCCAGCCAGGATCTGTGCTCTTCTCAGGTAGTATCTGTCTGTTCCATCTGGAAGCCAGGAGTATGTGAGTGAGCTGGAGCCTCTGAATCATCTCCTTGCAACTGAGGGAGAAGTCCGAATAGGCAAGTTTGTGACACACCAGACTCCTTGAGTTGTCACTGTATTCCAGCTATTTTGAGAAAAGAAGATTTAGACATATGTACCAAATGCAGGCGTTTTCTTCTTTTACTCTGTTAAAAACTAATTGTTTAACTACTTTCAACATTTTTTTTTTGAAGTAGTTGTGTTACGGTTTTTCTCATGCTTGTTTTAAGAGAAAACAGTTCTGTATTAGAATAAGGGAACAGGGACCTGCCTCCTGCTTCTGGTAAAAGTCCTTATGACTGAAAAATGGTTAATATTTGTGCTTGAAGTAATCAGGTAGAATGCACTTTGATAAATTCAAATATCATGTTTACGCACATCTAGATAAAGACTGTCTTTATCCATGGCAGTTTCTCAAGTTACTTGAATTTTTGCAGTTTTACTTTCTCAAGTCAATTAGATGATAAACATTTTTTGGTTCAGGATAATAGATTGAGTACACACACGTGGGTCCCCTGGATCCCTCCGAAATGGCAGTAATAAATGTGTGGCACACCACAACCAGAGATGGTATCAATGAACCTGCAATTCAGGCAAATGTACAGTAGGCAAGAACCATGTAGTATTCTAAACATCAGTCTGAAGACTTAATCATAGAACAAAATATAAATATACATTTTTTTATGGTACTGGGGATCGAACTTGGGACCTTGCGCTTGTGAGGCAGGTGCTGGAACCACTGAGCTAAATCCCTGGCCCTAAATATAAAATTTTGACTGTAAAAAGGAGATGATATTGACAAAATTTGAAAGTAAGTATGGAAGAAAATATAGAGGTACTAATTTTCTTATATAGTGAGGAGTCAATAAATAGGATCTAAAATTGATGAATTCAAATCCAAAACTGTAAATCTGCTTTTTAGAGTTATGGAACAACTATCAAAAATACTGAAAGTAGGGCTAGGGATTTAGCTCAGTGGTTCTGCTGCCTGCCTCCCAAGCGCAAGGACCAGAGTTTGATCCCGGTACAAAAAAAAAAAAATACTGAAAGTAGTTAAAAGTAGGGGTGGGGAGAATGCTGCTTTTCATTTTAACTCTTGCAATGAAAAATTATGTTCATGTATTTTGAATAATGTTTATAGAAGAAAGATTGATAAAAATTGGAAATGATCTGTTTGGTTCTTTTTATGTTTGAAGGTCTTCATTTTAAAGTTCTTCATTCTACTCTCAAATTTCTTAGAAAGACTTTTTAAATTACAAACAATTGTATTGTCCCAGAAAAAAAGAAAGGCACAGCAGATTGGAGACTTACTTTTCACTTAAATACTCTATACTCTTGGACTCTTTTTATCCCCACCCCTGTACCAGGGTTCGAACTCAGGACCTTGTGCTTATGAGGCAGACTTGATGCCATTGAACTAAATCCCTGGCCCTATACTTTTGCACTTTAAAATTATGAGCCCATTATGGTTTAATGACACCTATGAATTTAGAATAAATTCTGTCTTTTCTTTATATATTATTGAAGAGACAATTGAAAATGCTGCATATTAAATGAAAAAAGGAAGATGTGTATAGTTTACCATTATTTGGGTTTTTAAAAGGTGTGCTTTTTTTAAAGCAAAGATACATAGCAAACTAGCTTTGATGGCTGCCTTTGAGGTGGGAAGTGAGTGGGTGGGGAATGAGTCCAGAGAAAGGGAACTTTTTGCTGAATATTCTTTGAATTTTGTCCTAGGAGAATATATTACTTTCTCAAATACATTTAAAAGGACTGCTTTGTATATTACAACTGATTCTGAAACAAGAATAATTTTACTTTTTATCTGGAATTTGTGATGATTTATGAGGTATAGTTCCAGAATCATGTGGTATAAGGCCTTATGAACTCTGATGGAACATAATTAATCCATCATTTTTTAAATTGAAAAATGGAAACAATTGTAGATTCACCTGCCAATGCAAGAAACACTGTAAAGAGGTCCCTTAGAGATAAAATTTGGCAGAAGTATGGTATTTAGTATCATATCCTACATCAGTGCACTCAACACAGATTTTTGACATTGATCTATGTTCCTTTTAAAGATAGATTTAAAATCTTTTCTCA